ATCCCTTTGAAAAGGATTATTTGTCCGATGCCTTAACAGATCATTTTCGCGAAATTATATCATATAATCCATAAGGAGTTCGAGATATGTATGTTATCACGGATATAGGAAATCATAATTTGGTAAATTTCTTTTATATAACCTAAGCCACTACAAATGGCGTTGTACTACAAAGGTAGACGTTATGAGATATAATTATGATCTGTAGAGATATACTGTACCGCATTTAAAGATTAATAATTTCATCACCTTCACGTCCATGTCGTTAAATTGCTTCATGAATATTCTAACTCGTAGAGAAATAAGATATTATATCTTAAAATTTGAGAATGCATAAAAAAAAAGACGGTTATAAGTACTTGTTATGATTCTATGGTGCATGATGACCTGATAACAATATTAATGTTTATTTTTGACCAATGTGATGATAAATAGTTTATGTTATATCTTTTCCATATAAGTTAATCTAGCACGCACACACAATAGAATATAAAAATTTATGTTTTTATTTTCTTTCTGTTCAATATTCTCTCGCAACCTTAACTGATATCCCAATTGCTCTTACAAATAAAATACTTTTTCTCATCCGGCATGTCGCAAAGGTATTTGGTGTTAATTTGTTGTTAGCTATTGCTATAACTTGATGCTTAAATGCTTTTAAGTTTTCAGGTATGGTTTCGCTTTGAAAACAAGTATATCTCATTTACGCGTCAAATTTTGGAAGGTGAAAAAGTTATTGTATTCGATGATCTGAAAAACTTATTTTAAGAGGAATCCCTGTTTTGAATGAGGTAAAACCAATCGACATTCAACTTCGCTCACATGACCAAAACATACTAAATGAGTGGGAGGATGTTGATAATTTATACAATTCACATGAAAATCCACATGAAATTGAACGTTAGTAACATAGATTGATTTTCTTATCTCATACATTATCGTTAAACAATTTGACTAATTCATATCAACTATATAAATTGCTTTCGTTATCCTTTTTTACAATATAACAGATAAAAGTTAGTGATATTGATTATTTTGCTTATTCCATAACTCAAACGGTTTGACTAATTTTATATCAACTAATATAAATTGCTTTTATCTACTCTTTTTACATTATTACAGATACTAAAATATTGTATTGCGTTGCCAAATACATGAAATATAAAAAGAATTTTGTATTTCATTGCAAAGATGTGAATAATTTCTGGACAGAATTCACAAATGCTATAAAATATAATCTATCAGAGGCTCTAATTGATATCCCAACTGAAACAATTGCCATCGTCCCTGAAGGTGAAGAATATGAGGTAGATTGTCAATTATCGCCAATGACATATTGCGGTTTCTTCAGAGGCGACCAGATGGGAAATTGAATTGTGTTTTTAAAGTCAACACCTGTTAGTATATATGTATTTGCTGAGTAAAACTTGCATTTTAAACTCAACCTTCTAATTGTCATTAATGCAAATTAGCACAAAAGGAATTTTCCAGTTATAGAACCCTTCCTCAGGTGTTGACATTGTTCGGTATGGACGTCGTGAATGATATCAAAGATCTCAAACAGTTTAAACCACGTAAGCTTTAATTATTTAATGTCCTCTTTTGGAATTTTGGACTTAGATTTGACTAATAAATATATATTTCCAACTAACATTCCTCGAAATCCTTGAACCAGATGATGAAAGGCAATTCAGTGCCTTACCTAAGATATATTGGTATGATGAATAATTTATTACATATTAGCTTATTTATTATCTCTTATCTCTTTTCTTTATATCAATAGAAACGAATAAAAGTTATTGGGTCAGTAAGCGACAGCAATAAAGCAGTTAGATCTGGATTTGTATCTTGCAGTTGTATCAACTTGTCCAGTTGGTACTAGATTACACCCACAATTAAGACTTATTGGCTCCAAGGGACGGGTCACGTTGACTTTGCTATTAAGTACTTGATGGAATTGCTCTGTGTCAGTGAATGCAAAATGTTTGATTTCACTTATGGTGTATCACAAAATATCATACAGCTTGATTCGGCTATTTATGTTAGTATTTATTAGTTTCTTATTATTTCGTATGATTTACTATATTTTTTAATTCCCTTAACAATGACAATAATGAATATTAATTTTTGTACAATTTCCTCTTAGAATAATCTCAAATCTAGGAAAAGAGAATTCTCTGATATCGATGATGTTGATGGTATTTATGGTATTGTAACATCAGGAAATAAATGGTTATTTATCGTTTATACCTCAGATAATTTAATCGCCTCAACAAGCCGAAATGTTTTGACCCATTAATATTTTAAATGAGACAGTAGGTAAGCAAAATTTGGAAAAAAGTATTGCGAAATTATATTCTATCATCAAAGCGATGCTAATGGAACAAATTTAACTTAACAACAATATAGATGAAGGAAGCATGAAATCAAGAGAAAAATGTCAGAGAATGGCTGAACATATGAGTCATAGTTAGACATGATTACTGAAGTAACATTCTATTTTTCAATAGTATTTGCTGATCTTATTTTAAAATGATTAAAATTTAATTAATTACATAAATAATACTTTATTTTTTTTTAAAAAATACAATAAAAAAAAAAAACCTAATTAAAAACAATAAATACTTTAAATACAAAAAAAAAATTTTATTTTTTTGTAATTTTCCGTTAAATTAATAAAAGTTACTTATGTATGTGAAATTTTTATAAATAATATTTCTTTTTTAGAATATTAATTCTTTATATAATATATACTCAAATTTGAGAGTTTACAATTGGAAATCTCTTAAATGAATTTCCTAAATAACAAATTAGGTATATCAAATCAAATTTCAATTTAAATGAAGGATTTATCAATATTACAATAAATTAAAAAATTTTCGAACACGTTCAATCTAAAGAACAAATATTTGTTAAATTCACCTTTCGGCCTGAGGACAAATTGGCCAAAATTGATTTACAAGGTATAACTATAGTGATATGCAAAATTTCTTGAGCGAAAATTTCAATCTTGTAATCGTAGTTATTATATGAATCAGGCTTTGTTTATAGGATATTATTGTGATCCAGATAGTTATCTACGATTAACCTCTAAAAATAAAGAAAAAATAGTTTTCAGAAGTAACTAATTTCATAAATCTCATCTTCAAGGTGATAGAATAATTCTATTTTTGAAATGAAAATGAAAATGGATGGGAACAATTATTGTAAAAATTTTTTTTAGTCGTAATTTATGTAAAGTGTACAAAAAAAAGAATAAGCGCCTTTAACAAGATATGTATTTTCATATATAGTAAATATATAAAAATAATGCATTTTTATGAACTAACTAACTTTGATTTCAAGGACTTGGTTTTATAAAAAATGGTTGTCCTTTTGTTTTCGAAACTTTAAAAGATTATTTCATCTTTTTTTGAAAATTTAAATGATTATTTATCTTTTTTTTTTAGAAAAAAAATTAAATGATCTATTTTTGCACGATCATATTCGGGAAATTAAAGTGAACACAATATTTTCCTGGAAATTATAATTTTTGCGACCTTTGATACGAGCAAATGAAAAGAAAACGACAAGAAGTATTCTGAGCGATCCATTTCAACGATTAGATTTATCGGGAGGAGGACGCTAAAATTATATTTACCGCAAAATTATAGATATCATCAGGGTCACGGCGGAGCCGCGATCCCTGTGATATCGGCGAAATAACGTATATTTCATGTCTTCATGGTTATTAACGCTCGTGAATAAGGACGTATTAAATAGATCGCGTGTTACTGACAATAAATAAACTTTCTTAGTACTTTCTAAAAAATTTACAACAGATTAATATTATCTTAAGTTTTAGATAATCCACATTTACAATCTAAAAACATTTTTAATATAGAAATTTAAAAAACAATTTTATTTTATCAAATAACAAAATACAGAAAAAGCAAACGAAAAAAATTGGCGAAATCTTCAAGATTCAAATCTTTCAAATTATTCACAATATTTACACTTCTTGATAATAAAATAAAGAAAAGGCACCATAGTTGAGTAAATGCCATTTTCAAGATGTCAACTTTTATTCTAACTAGATTTTAATTAGCCATGATTACTTAAAATAGTTGAAAC